TTAGCTAAGCCTTCCTTAATGATATCTTTGATCTATAAAGTGTTTCTTAAAGAATCAATTTTACTTCTCTTTGGAAAGCAAATACAGTGGCAGACCTGGATAATTGTTTACACAACACAGTCAAGGTGACAGAAACTTATTCAGGATCCCCTTCCACACATAGAAGGCTCAGGTAAAGGAGGGGCTTGCTTTCATGATGCCTTCTGGTTAAGGGTGCTGACTCTGACGCCCTGGCAAGGGAAAAGGGCAGTTCACTCACGGTTTTTATCTGGTGGGAAGAAAAATTATTTCATGAAAGCATTTTATATAGTTTTCTATAAAAAATGAGGAAATGTACATTCTTTAATCTGTAGATAGGATATTGTTAATTTCTAATTATTCATGTTCTTAAATATAGTGAAATATCAATGAACAAATGTCTGAGATTGTTCTTTTATTTATTTTTTTTTCATTTTAAGTTTTTAATGAAAGTTGTATATAATATTACTTTATTCCTGCATCTTCTCAATTGTTTCTTCCTTGTATTTTCCCTTTTCCTTTCCTACTTGGTGAGATTTGGCTTTACGTTCAAGGATCTTTTTGTGGTCTTTGTCCAGCTTTAGTCTAGTGATAACCACCTTGCTGGGGTGAATGCCCACATGAACAGTTGTCCCATTAGCTTTCTCCCGTTACACTCGTTCAATGTACATGACATATTTCTTCCTGTAAACCTGGACTACTTTGCTAATTTGCTGCCCTTTGTAATGTCCTCAAACAACCTGATCCCCGTCATCCTTTCGGATGGGCGTGGACCGAACACTGTACTTCTGTTTCAGCTCTTTGGAAAGAGGAGACGACATGATCTTCCTTCGAATGTGGGAAGGTGCACTGAAATGCCTTTTACGGTTCTTGCTCCAGTCAGAAGTCACAAAGAGGTTGAACTTCATTTTGACCGCTGGCGATCCTACGATGGCCGCCTGAGATTGTTCTTTTATGTTGCCAGTGTTTTTAAATTTGTTTTGTCACCTAATCTGAAGTTGCCTTTCTAACTGACCCTCTATGAGAATACCTTGATTCAAACTTAGGTCCCTTCCCAGTTGAGAGTAAACAAAGTTGATGCTAAGCAGCCATTCATTCCTTCTACTGTCTTTTCCTCGCTGACACTAAACAGTCATTAGTCATTACCTCTGCAAAGTCAGTTTCTCCATGGCCTTTCTTCATCCTCACACTCCACTTGGACCTTCTTTGCCAATCAGCAGTTAGGCCCTTCCAGTTCCCTCCACCCATCTCCCATTGGCATCTGCAGGGAGCTGCTGTCAGTCATTTCCCATTGCTTTTGTAAACTACTTGCTCTCTGTATTAGTTTATTTAACTGCATGAATTCAATTTTTTTTCATTTTGTTTACTTTATCTTAAGTTATTTAGTTTTTAAGAATAAAGGCATTAGTAAGTAATTGAAAAAATTATTTTAGGGAAGATAATCTTCCTAAATCTCATTCATCAGCTCTCCTTCCCTGAGTCACCTGATGCCTTAGAGATGAGTAGTGATAGATTGGCTCAGGCTCAGTGACTGCAGGCATATTCTATGGAGTCTGCATGCCTTATGCTGAAATCTTTGGGATCTGGAGTCTCACAAAACCTCACTGCAGCCTCACCTACTGGCCCCGCTCCTGCTTCACTTAACCTGATCTCTTCTTCCAGGGCGGAGTGGGTTAGCAAGTGGGGAGGCAAGGAGGATGGTGGGAGTTCCTTCCTGTTTTTAACTAAAGATGTTTCTTTGGTGCATTCATTGTTTTCTAACATTCTGGATGTTATTTCAATTAGTGCCCCCTGCCTTCTTATCATTTTGTACCTGAAATGAACTATTCAACAACAAAAATATCATTGCAATGATAAGAATGAATTTTCTTTACCAGCAAAATTAATGTTTCCATAGACTGTTTGTTACATTGTGCACGAAATGGTACAAAACATACCACCTTGATTTCTCATCTCAAAGAGTTCTGTACTTCCTGGAAGCTTGGTGAGTGTGCTATTGCACTGAGCCTTCCCCTTGCACCATGGGATGACAGCTTGATTGCCGAATATGTCAGTTGGGCGCTGTTTCTCATATTTCTGAGTAGTACTCTAACAGGATTTGTAAAAACATCATTTGGTTTTCACTGTAGTCATGTACCCTTGTCTCAATACTTTGATTTTGCTTTTGACACATTCCTACAGATGATTGAGGCTGACATTGAAATCTAACATATGAATTATATGTAGACTCTGTACCAAAATACAGGGTATCCAAAAAAAATGTATACACACTTTAATGGCTGATAGCTCAATTTTGAAAATGAAATGTATTTTAATAAACACTGCCTTGCCCTACCTGGTTTGGCTCAGTGGATAGAGCATTGCCCTGTGGACTGAAGGGTTCCAGGTTCGATTTCAGTCAAGGGCACATGCCCAGGTTGCGGGCTTGATCCCCAGTGGAGACATGCAAGAGGCAGCCAATCAACGATTCTCTCTCATCATTGATGTTTCTATCTCTCTCTCCATCTCCCTTCCTCTCTAAAATCAATAAAAATGTATTTTTAAAAAATAAAATAAATACTGCCTTTATAATTATTCAAAATGTGTGCGTAAATTTTGGGGGGACACCCTATAGACACACTGCCCAGGGATTTCTCAGGTTCTTCCATCAAAGAGAATGATCAGAAACTGCTGAATTTTTCTAGACTGTCTCACAATGGCACTTTAAGATGAGACATCTTTATGGGTAGACAAGGAAGAAAAAGGGTTTCAGAAAACTGCTGAATGAAAGGGCCTCATGAGATCAAAGAAACTATAGTAACAGACTAATGTTGTATAACCTTCCTTCCTAGAATTCTTATTTTCATTTTTTAAAATATAACATTAAAGAACATGATATTTTTATGAGATTATCTTTGCAAAGCTGGTTTTTGGCTCTCTAATTTGCCTTCTTTAGAAAAATCTTGTAGAGGTTGAAGACTGGTTTATTTAATGAATTCTTGCCTTACACTTTAGTTAGCGTTAGTGGTATCTCTGAATCACCCTATAAATTTGTGTCTCTCATATTGATGCATGGATATGCGGCCGACTGGGGGAATAGAAATGATTTGTTTGAAGACTAGTCCAGCTTTTAGGAAATAAATATATGTCTTTCCAGAAAGCTAGAAAACATTTGAGAATATTTGTGCTCATTTGCTATATTAGATCTGAGAGAGAGCATCCAGCTCAACTCCCTAATTTTCTAGATATGGACTCTGAGCCCAGAGAAGTTGAGTGACTTCTTTAAAGTTATTCAGATAACAAAAGTCAAATTCTAGATCTTATATTTCCAAATCTACACTGCACAACCAAATATTTTTATGTAATTGGGATTAAATTTAAGCCCATAAAAAATCCATTTACCAATTGAAATCCCAGCATCAATCATTTCTAATTTTTGTTTTTGTATTATCAGTCTCAGTCCTTTGAGAATTCATATTTTTCATGTTTCCCTAGTGGGAAACTTAAATATTTTGGTTTCCAATTGAATATCACACTGAAAGTACTTACATTCATTTATACTTTGTGTCCAATCAATGTATAACAGTTTGGGGGGTTTTTGTCTACAAAACATCCAATTTCCCTTTAAGTGATAAACTGGTGGCAAAGCTATTGATGATTTTCTATTTGGTACAGCCCATGATAAGTATACTTTGGGACCCTAAATACGTTTCTTAACATCAAGTGCTACTTCTTTCAAGTTTTTTTTTATAATAATAGGTGTGCACTCTGGGGCAGCCTCATGCCTGTTGTGTGTGGCATATACTCGCTGTGGGCATTTGCTAACTGACCGTCATTATAATAATAATTATTATTACAGCCCATTTCTTCGGTTTCCTTTTATTAAGCCCACCACCCTTCTACCAACTAGCTGAAGAAACTGGTCACATGGAAAACATTTTATTTTTATAGACTTTAAAGGACTGGTTGCAGTTAATCATATAATACAACATAATTGTGGAATCTGAAAATTGGAAAGAACACTGGTAAGCAACCTCTTGTGTCTACTCTGGAAAAATATTTTAAATAAAAGTAAAGAAGTCTTCAACAAGTTTTCAACAACTAACGTAGGTTGTAGCCATTAAAATCAGTTCTTTTATATCTGGTCCAAATCCTTATTATCGCACTGGCAGCTCATGACTTATATTTATGTCTCCTGTGGAAAGATGAATGCTGTGAGTGGTATAAACAGAAAAAGAATCTGTTTTCTTAAGATCTTTTAATAACTACCTATATTCTCTTGAACAATATCTTTTTTTTTCTTCTGCAATTTTTCCCCCTTTGGAAATGGCAAAAAATAACATTTTATTAAAAGGAAAATTTGGAACCCATTAAGTTAATGTACTTATGTGAATCTCCTGCAATTTTTAATAGAAGTAATTATTATGAAATGAAAGGAAGTGAATGATATCAGAATTCATTAACGTCAATCTTGGGAATGATTTGCCTTGAAGGATAAATAGGGTAACAAAGTTCCCAGGCAAGCCGAAAGTCAGTCCGTGAGATTTTGTTTGCCACTGCTCATCAGGCTAAAGTGACTATAATTTGGGCCGGGGGATGGGAAGAGTGGGGGAGGGGGACTAAAAACTAGGCTTCCAAATAGATGCTTCTGAATTCAAATAGAGGCATAATCTGGTGCCTGGCTACATTCACAACCTTTATAGCATTTCTTTACCAAATAAGAATTTAGATTATACTGATTCTGAGCTGGAAGCCTTGAGCTGGAATCTCCTTTGTTACTAAGAAAATGTCCTTGAGAAAGAACCTTCTTGCTTCTACATGCCTGAGAACAGCACATTTGAAGATGGGAGACCAAAAGAAATATCCAAGTCAGAAAGCTGCAAGCCATTCAGGCAAAATCTGGTTGGAGAGGAAAGCTGTTCCCACGATTAAGGAGCTTCCCCAGCTAGCCTGTAGGTGGGTGTGTTTAACAGAAGGAAGCAATGGAAACCTGCCTGTCAGCCAGCCTTTAGAGCTAATTAGCTCAGCACACAACAAAGATAAGTGAGCCTGGGAGGAGGGCCCCCTGAGGGGTCTTTAGAGTCTGGGAAATGTCTGATTGGCAGATGTTAAAAGGGATTCTTTAGTAATCCTGTGCATCAATGAGCTGCACAAATTCAGTCCAGGACTCCAAGAATCCAGGCATGAGGACACTGTGCAGCAGGCTCACACAGGCAGACCCAAGATGGACAGAACCTTGGAATCCCTGAGACACATCATTGCCCAAGTCCTGCCTCACAGAGACCCAGCTCTAGTCTTCAAAGACTGTAAGTACTGAAGGGGAAAAGTTGTTTTACTTTTTTTAGAAAATAGTCCTAAACATCTAGTCACATCCTATTTAAATATGATTTCTTCTAAATCTCTGTAGTCGTGTGCTGTGGTCTAGTGATGTTTAACTTGTTCCTGACTTCAGTCAGAAAAATGATTTCATTTCATTTTACCTACAGGGTATTAGTTGCCGGGTTATTTTGTCAGTGATACATCTTGCGAACGGTTTAGAAGTCTCTCTTAAAAATCTAAGGCTCACCTAAGACTTAATGAACTTTTCCAGATGCTTTTGTAAAATAAAGCAGACTGCTACTAAGGTTAAAATTAAAAATAACTTGCATGTGATAATAAAATATATACTTGCTAATCTGTTTAATCTTTAATAACATATATTAGTTATGTTAAATCAAGTATTGTGCTTGTCTGATATTTTTTTGTTGCAAACAAAAGTTAATAAATCACCACTGAGCTCTTAAATTTTGATAACAAATTGTAACACATTAGTTAAAAGGCCAATGAAATTAGTTGTCTTCCCACCTCTGCAACACCCTTCCCTTCTAAAAAATCTAAACAGCTATGGCAAAGTTATTTAAAAATCTTCTTTTAATGATTATGAAAAATAACTCAATCAAGCTTTCCAAATCTGGCAGTACTATTAAACCATTTGTCATGTAACTTTGTTTCTGGAACCAATTTGATTTCCTGCTGCTGCAAAACAGACTATCTTCCCCCTGTATCTTATCTACAGTGGGTTTCATATTACAAAGAGCTTCTGAAATAGAACTTTGCTATGGAACTGCCCAAAAGGTAAAATGCATATGGATTTTTTTTTTCTTGTGCTTCAATAGGTTACAGCTTTCTTCTTTGTAAATCTTGCTATGTTTGTCTCCATCAAAACTTCAATGGTTTGGATTTTTCCTTTCTGATTGCTGAATAATGTTAGTTTCCAGATGTCCTTTTAGTTTATATTTCTCATATGTGTGATGAAGAAAAAGAAATGTTAGGCCATTTTATTCTATACATTTTTCTTCTTAGAAATTAAATTATAACTAATTTTCCCTTTAAGACATAAAATAAAAGATCTTTCTTTCTTTCTTTCTTTCTTTCTTTCTTTCTTTCTTTCTTTCTTTCTTTCTTTCTTTCTTTCTCCTTATATTGTATTCAAACATGTGTCAATAGCTATGTTAGGACTAATAAAATCACTCCCTACCCTAATCTAGCCTGGAGTCTATTCAGGTTTGGTATGTTTCTTTAAGTGAAAAGGGAAGGAAAGAATGTGTGTCTCATACAATAGCCCTGAATTCACTAGTGAAGGGTAAAGGGCTCTTGTCCTGCCCAGAGCTTTGGATAAATTGTGTAAGACCAGGAGGTCTTATGCTGAGGGCTTGGTTAGTGGAAGCAGTAAAAAATACAGGGAAAATTTTTCACTGAGTTCATTGATCATTGTGAATTTAGGAAGTTTAATCTGAAATCATGGCCCACTTTTTAAGATGAATTAACCCCAAAAATTGTTAACAGTTTAGCATAGAGAATAAAACAGAAGAAGGGTTAAAATAAAGCATACATTATGTTCTTTCTGTCATCTAGGTCTTTGCAGAAACTCTTTTATATGGAAAAATAAAGGAATGTCCCATTGTATGTATTTCACTCATTAACATAGAATAGAAATTTGACCAGATAGCATTGCCTGCTTACCCTAGAATGGGCTGCTACTCTGCAACTGACTGCATTGCTTAAAGGTGTGAATATTACAACCCATCCTCTCCCTCAGGTGTTTCTAATCTGAAAAATGACCAAATGAAAGTGAGCCAAGTGGCAGATTTCTGCACCAGGAGTTTTTATAACATCAAAACATCTAGCCACTCACCATGCTCCTGGCATAAACGGGAACAGGCTTACTACTTTCTGGGGCAGGACATCAAAAGTCCGCCTGGGCCTTTGCCATGCCTCGGCAACCTCCCGTGTGCGTGCCAGAGTTTAGCACACGGACTTATTTTCTTTGGCACACCTGTAAGTTGCTGCCACCACCTTCCTGTTTTACACAGCCTATAGAACGCTGCCGCCAGCCTTGAATGGCAGGTTCTGAGCAGCCTCCTCTCCTCATCCCCCACCCTGGCCCAGGCTCTTCCTTGCAGAAGAAAAGGCTAAGCACTTAAGCACATCACTGCCAATTGCTTAAGAAAAATTGTTACCTTACTTTTCCTGCGAGATGAAAAGGCAATCCAAGAATTTTAAAAGCCCAGCACAGTTGAACAAAGGAGCGTTAAAAAAAAAAAAAAGAAACCAACAACACTGTAAACGTGTTTTTCTAAATTTCTTTTCTATAAATGCAAAGGCAGTTTTTTCTCTTTATTCTTTAGAAACACATAATAGAGGGGATATAAATGATCATTTTATTAATTTCTTGCTCTCAGTTGGTTTGTGATTTTTTTTTTTTTTAAAAAGCACTAGTAAATTGAATTTTCTCTTCACATTGGTGAGGAAAAGCACCCAGAGTTTCTGGTCTGAGACCAATGCCCATGGGGATAGTTACAGTCATTTAAATAAATAAGATTTGAATGCATGTCTCAGCCAAGGAGGCCTTCCAAGTGGCATTTTGCAATTCATTAAATCCCTCGTTTGTTTTAGGCAAGGTGTTCATCTGGCTGCTGCTGTCATTTGTTTTTCATTTTCTTTCCTTTACGTATTTTATTCATAAACATAGAATAAAACAACATTTTTTCCCTTTTCCCTATTTTACACCTCAAATGAAAAATAATGGAAAGACATTTTTAAAAGGTGGGCTCTCAATGTGCAGTTTGCTCATTTAAGCTGTCTCTGACTGTTCCCCATACCTGAGTGTCCCCGCTGTGTAACAAGAAGCACCGGGCGTCGCCACACCACCGGACAGATACTGGGCATATCTCCCTGCTGCCTTCCACTCGTGGCTTTCTGCAACAACTCATTTCTTTTCGTGTCATGTGTCACAACCAAAGATGAGCTATCCTAAACACAGCCCCTGTCAGGTCTTTTAAGAGAGTGTGTGTGAGCTTCCTATTTGTTTGCCACTGTTTGACAGTTTCTCACATGCTTTCTCAAAGGAAACCACCGCATGATTTCAAGGTGGCTGCACTGTCAGATTCTACTCTGAGTGTTAACTCTTCAAATTACAAGAACACAGTATGCTTATCTGCCATCTTTGGGACCTTTCTTCATTGATGGTAATGCCAGGATGCCAAGACACGATACTAGGAACATGAATCCTTCACAGTAATGCAGATATTATTGTTGTTTATAGATGAGGGAACTGAGGCTCATGAAGGTTAAGGTGACTTGCCCAAGGTCACACAGCTAGTAAGTGATCGAGCCAGAATTCAAATTCTATCTTCCAACTCCTCACCTTTAGTCACTGCCAGACATTGCCTCTCAGAGGCGTGAAATGATCATGTCATGGCAATATCTTCCAGGAAAACAGGGGGGATTGAAATGAACTCTTCTGGAAGTGTAGAGGGAACCCATTTAATGGGCACATCTGAACAGTATGACAGAGAGTGAAAGGGGAAGGGCATTTTTGAGGAGCGAGAACAGCTTGTCCAAAGGCAGATCAGGCAATACATACAATGCATGGGCCGGGAGGAGCAGGGGAGAGGGAGGCAAGGCTGAGGCAGGTGGAGTCACTCTGGCACGCAGGCAGTCGGGAGCCATTGGAGTTAACAGTGATCCTAGATTAGTTCTGGAAGTTTATGGCTTTCTGTTGCATTGGGGAAAAGATTATAGTGACATCTGTAGGAGGTACACTTCCTGATACTAAGTTGGGAGACAATTACAGCTTTTTCACAGCAAGAATTATTTTACCCGTTCCGGCAAGATGCAAGATTTGTGAATGTAAACATGCCTCTAGGGAGAAACCACATTCACTGTCTGAAGGCCAAAATCAGACAAACTTTCTCAAGCAGATGGTTAAAAAGCTATCTGAGTTGTCATTGAAGCCATGAGAATGTGTTGTTTCCAGTACTGATTTATAAAGTGACATGTTAGATTTCACCAACATGTTTCCCCAAATTGTATAATGAATAAAATAAGATGGACCCGTTACTAAACATTGCACAATTAGAAGGAAATATCTCACATATTTGAGGTGCATTAACTCTTCCATTTGGGGAAACATTTTTCTGCATAAAAGGTCTTATTTATATCAGATAGGTGAATACTTCAAAAAGTATTTCTTACCCTTTGGAAAAGTTAGACCAGACTATAGAGCTATTAAAAACCTCTTAGTAATCATGAGTCTGGCTGTGTGCAATGCGAAAGAACAAGATCCTCAAGAGTCAAGTATTTTCTCCATTTCATGCTTTTTAGTGTAGTTATCTAACTCTATAAATTTAATGGTACATGTGTGTTTTTTGCATTTCACAGAAAAGAATGGAGTAGGATGTAAGGGATGAAGGTATTTGTGCAGTAAAATCTCTACACATATTGCACTGAATTCACCATGTAAAGTATGTCTGGAAGAATATGGTTAAAAGAACCTTCACTGCTCACTAGCTCATTTTAGAGAAATTATTACATCATAATTACAATAATTTGAACTGTGGACATCTGGTTTACTGATGCCAATTTTACTTTAAAAATTTATGCTGAGATAATAACAACTATTTTTATTTGAAAATGCGGATTTCAGTTCAGATATCAGTGGGATAAGCACCCTTCTCCTTTTTTTCAGTAAATACCCATTTGGCAGAGTTTAAATACTGAAAGTCTCAGCCCCAGAGGGAAATTTTTTTAAATGGAAAAAAAACTAAGTGGCTTCTTGAGCACTTAATGGCCATATCTGTCCTAGTATATTTATTTCTCAATGTATAAATAAGATTTAACAGATCAAAATAAAATGTGATTGACATTCATCCGGTGATCAAATCAGGTGCCTCTTCATGGTCTGCTGTCTCTTAACATAGGCTTTTTTTTTTAACAGTTAAGATTTGTTAGCCTGAACTCAAACTTTAACAACTTCTGAAACTCA